GGTTAGTCTCAATGCATCTTTTCAAAATCAATGTTAGATTATCTAAGCAATCATCAAAACTATCACCATAGACACTGAAGTCATCCATGACTACCTCAATTATTCTTTCCACATACTCAGAAAAAATGCTAATCATGCACCTCTGGAATGTTGCGGGGGCATTGCACAATCCAAAGGGCATCCTTCGATAGGCGAAAGTGCCAAAGGGGCAAGTGAAAGTTGTTTTCTCTTGATCCTCTGGCGCAATTGCTATCTGAAAATAACCAGAGAAACCATCTAAAAAATAATAATAGGCACGACCAGCTAACCTTTCAACCATTTGATCAATGAATGGAAGGGAAAAATGATCCTTCTTGGTCACTGCGTTCAATTTACGGTAATCGATGCACTGGCGCCAACCCGTAGGCTTTCGAATTGGAACAAGGTCCCCTTCATTATTTTCTTCCGCAGTTACCCCTGCTTTTTTTGGCACCACTTGGACCGGACTCACCCATGGGCTATCTGAGATAGAGAAAATAATCCCTACGTCCAGAAGCTTGATTACCTCTTTCTTGACCACTTCCATCATGATGGGGTTCAATCTCCTTTGTGGTTGTCTTATCGGCCTAGCATCCTCTTCCAGGCGAATTCGATGCATGCACACGGACGGGCTTATACCCTTGATGTCCGCAATTGTCCAACCTATAGCTTCCTTATGCTCCCTTAAAACCCGTAGCAGCTTATCCTCCTCCGTGGGTGATAATTTGGATGAGATTATCACTGGTAACGTCTCTTTTTCACCTAAAAAGGCATACTTTAAATGCTCGGGCAGGGGTTTCAACTCCACTTCAGGTGCCTGCACGATAGAAGGTAATAACTTTAAGTGTGGTTCAGGCACAAATATAGGAGCAACATCATACCTTAGAGGACTTTGGCCTAGTGAATGCAAGGCTCCAACCATTCTTTGCAAACTGATGTCTAACTCCATTTCGCAAGCTGCTTCCAGATCCAAATGTTTGGTGATTGCTATCTCTAATTCATCCCTGCCATTAATCTCAAATACTTCTTGCACCAAAGGGTCAATTACACTCACAGCAAAAACAGCATTAGAATGACACGGATATTTCATGGCCTCAAATATACTGAAATGAACTATTTCTCCATCAAATTCCATCGTTAGGGTGCCCTCACTAACATCAATTTTTGTACGAGCTGTGCTCAAGAAGGGCCTCCCCAACAAAATTGGTGATGGATTTGGAGAACGTTCATCACCCATATCAAGAATATAAAAATCAGCAGGGAACACTAAATTGGTCACTTGCACTAACACATCTTCTATCACCCCATCGGGATAAGCATTAGTTCTATCAGCCAATTGAATTATAATGCCAGTTTCCTTTAAGGGGCCCAAATTTAGAGAAGCATAAATAGCCTTGGGCATCACATTTATGGAGGCTCCTAGATCTAACATGGCATTCCTAATGCTAGTGTTCCCTATTTTACAAGGAATAGCGAACATACCTGGGTCTCCGCACTTGGGTGGAAGTTTTCTTTGAAGCACTGCGGATACGTTCTCTCCCACAATTATCTTTTCATCTCCCCTCAATTTCTTCCTATTGATGCATAGGTCCTTCAAAAATTTGGCATACCGGGGTACTTGCTTAATTGCGTCAAGTAAGGGGATATTTATCTCCACCTTCCTAAACATCTCCAAAATTTCCTTTTCCTTATCTTGCTTTTTAGGCCTTTCCAACCTGCTAGGAAAAGGTGGTGGGTTAGGCTTAACTGGAACACTGGGTTACGTATTACCTCTTTATTTGTGCCGGGAGTTCCTTCTTCCTCAAGCTCCTTCTCAATGCGGTCCTCATTCTTGTCCTTCGGAGCCACTGGTGCTGGTCTTTCAACCTCTTTCCCACTCCTGAGGGTCATTGCACTTACATTCTTGGGATTCACCTCAAGTTGGGATGGAAGTTTCCCTTTCCCTGGAAGTCTAGTCGGTTGACAATTGAGGCTAATTGACTCATCTGATTTTTCAAGTTTTGCATACGTGCTTTCATCTCTTGATTGCTGGCCTCAGTGTCCTGTTGAAATTTCATAGTATTAGAGGCTATGGTTTTAACCATGTCTTCTAGGGACATACCTGAGGCAGAGGAGGATTGATTCCTTGTTTGATATTGTTGCTGGAAGCCCTGCTGTCTATTGGGGATGAAATTTTGTTGCTTATTTCCCCCATAGCTCATATTTGGATGATCCCTCCAACCCGGATTGTATGAGTTGGAATAGGGGTCATACTGTCTACGTGGCATGGGCATGTTACCAGCCATGTGTGCTTGCTCAGTTCCCTCCTCTTGCAACTGTGGGCATGAGTCCGCGGTATGACCAATATTCGTACAAATCCCACACACTTTGGCCTGCTGTACATTTCCTACAGCTATCTGTCGAACAAATGAGGTTAATTCAAATAACTGCTGTTGGATTGAAGATGAACTTACCTCATTGACCTTTCTCGTAGGAACATCTGCTCTCGTACCAAACTGCTGGCAGTTCTCTGCCATTCGCTCGATTAGGTCCTATGCCTCTTGGGTAGTCTTATTCACCAGTGCACCACCACTAGCTGCATCAATGATATTTCTATCGTTCATCAGTAGCCCCTCGTAGAAATACTGAATCAGCAGTTGATCACTTATTTGGTGATGCGGGCATCGGGTACGCAGCCTGGTGAACCTCTCCCAATATTCATACAAGGATTCCCCGTGAAATTGCTTGATGCCACATATTTCCTTTCGCAAACTAGCAGCTCTGGATGCAGGGAAATATTTTTCAAAAAATTTTTTTCTGCATCTCTGGCCACGTGGTGATAATGCCTGCAGGTAGACAGTATAACCAGTCCTTTGCCGAGTCCTTTAGAGAGAAAGAGAAGGCCCTTAATTTAATTTGTTCATCAGTTACTCCCGAAGGCTTCATACTCGAACACACCACATCAAATTCCTGCATGTGTTTGTGGGGTTCCTCTCCTGGCAGACCATGAAAAACAGGCAACAAATGTATTAAACCAGGTTTTAATTCAAAAGCTGCATTCTCACTAAGGCGAGGAAAAGTTATGCAAAGAGATTGTTGGGTCAAGTTTGGAGCAGCCAACTCCCTTAATGTTTGTGTGTTTGCCATGGCGACGTTCTCTTTGTACGAATCACTTGAAGTGTCACCAAACGAATCTGATGGTTCAACTTCGGGCTCAGATCTCTGAGATGCAGCACTGGAGTGCTCCTCTCTGAGCTGTCTGGTTTCCTTTCTTGTTCTACGCGCGGTCTTCTCTACTTCAGGGTCAAAAATCAATTCACCTGTACGAGAAGACCTAGGCATACACTAGAAAAATACCAGAAAATTAGAGCAAAAATGAACTTAATAAAGAAACAAATAATAACGCCAGTCCCCGGCAACGGCGTCAAAAATTGACAGGGCGTCAAACCTGTGCAATAATAATAATAATATAGAACCTAGCTACCACTAAAAACAGTCAATAATTAATCCTAGGTACTGGAGCAGGGACTCTAGGTGTGCAATGGGTTACTTGATTCACCCTGTTTCCGAAGAATTTGCTTAACCCGATATACCAGAATTAATTAGTTGACAAAAATTACTAAATAGTAGACAGTGGCAAGTAGGGTCGTCTCCTCAGGGACTGGAGATATCTGTCTCTTTTAAAGTCCAATTGATAAGGGGGGATTTCACCGGAATGAAACTAAAAACAATTTAACAATTTAACTAAAAATGAATGAATAACTAGCACAAATATAGCAGGAATTTAATCAGGAATAAATAAATTCTAGCCAAGGATGCAACTACTCAGGCACAGTCCATTTATCCGATCATTGATGCAGGAGAGGTTCACTTAATTTATTAATAGGCTAGTTATAGCCATCGATGAACTCTAATGACTAATTTTTCTTTAATTTATAGATGACCAAGGTACGACCATTAATCACCCCTAACCAGAAAAGTACTCCTAGGTACAATCGTAGGAATTAATTTTCCAATTGCATTAATAACCAGAAAAATCTAGCCCTAATCAATAACACGCTACGAGGGTTATTTAAATTAGATTGCACGTTCTCCTAATGTGTAAACACACCAGTTGCCACTAATATTAATCAATCAAACAATTACGGATTTAATTGATTAAATTGGCACGAGATTAATAAATCACATTGAACATCGGGCCCTTGACATCCAATTAATAAAATAATCCCATGAAAATTCAAGCAGACAACGTGCAAATATTAATAAATAACGGAACACGTGAAAACTAATTAGATCTCACAGATTTTCGGGACTGCGCCGTCGAGTTGACCCTTGACTAAATGGAAGACTTAGCCACGCCGCATAATAAAAGTACCACACGAATTAATAGATTGCAAAGGTATTGCGTTTTCTATTAAGAAGCAAGGAATAAAAGGTATTTTTCCCGTTGGGAAATATTATCGAACACCTGGCGTGTGTCAGAGGCCAGTCAGGAGAAAGAAAGAAAAACTAAAAATTAGGCTAAACACTAAAACTAAAAGGTCGTCTCAGAGCTCCTGTACGTCTCTTTTCTTTTTTAAAGCCAAAAGAAAGATGCCTAGTCTTCTCTCCAGTGGTCCCCACCCAATTGGTAGTCAAAGCTACCCAAAAGAAAGCCTGCCGATTTTACTTCCATGTTTTTCATCTCTGTACGTTCCTCTCTCCTTAAGAGCCAAATGACCAATGCTATTCCGTGTGCCTCCACCGAATTGAGAAGATGAATTACCAAAGATAGGCTCTGCGGAATTGACTCTTGTCTCCTATTGCTAGTAGATCATTTGGTAATTTTCTGCTTCACTCCTGAAATGATTCCAAATATCAAATATAAGTAAATATCTGCAATTAACACAATATTTATCAGGAATAAAAAGGAAAATAAATAATAAAATTACTAACAAATTATACCTATCAACTTTAATCTTGCCAAATTGTAATAGTTCTTGGTAATAGTTCTTGCCAAATTGTTCCTTTAGGAATGCAAATAATGCTACTCCCTTAGCAGGGCCCGGTCCAACTCTTAAATATTCAACTTTTGTCAACTAGCGAGGTCCCCTCAAAGAAAATTGAGAAGAAAAGAAATCAAAGACAAGACTTTTGGCACTTGGGGAGACTTGGCTGCTTCATCTTCGTTGACCACAAGTTCTCGTCGCCGGCTTTCTTCTAGCAATCGTGATGCCGATCATCAATGGCCGTTCCTCCTCTGCTGCTGGTAAGCTGTAGCTTCTCTCTCGCATTCATAGTTGTCAGGCCCCTGTTCTTTTGATTTGTCTTACATGTTAGTATGTTCTTTTTTTTTTCCTTTTATATTTACTTATTGCAGTCCGGTTAAAGGTTTAAATCCAAACATGAAGGGTGATTTCTTTGTTAATTTTCTATTGATTACATCGGGTAGGATTGACAGAGGGAAAGATGGCTTATGATGACGTTGTTTATCTGTCGGTGGAGGTGGACGAGTTAACTACTATCCTACGCAAAATACTGAATATCAAGGTATTGCAAGCCAAGTTATTTATAGAAAAAGTTGGTGAGGTCATCAGAGTATTGGAAATGGAAGGACCCCCAACTTTGCCGGACCAATTACTAGAAGATATTGCCCCTCTTGCACTGCCTATAGGAGATTTTGCTCGGAGAACTAAGCTACAAATTACTTCACCGTTATATGATGAGTATAGGATGAATATTCGTCACGGCTGGGAACGAATGCTATCAAGAGAAGTGCCAGAATTAGTACAACAGATTGGTTTAAATGAGAATAAGCTGGAGAAATTTCTTGATGAATCTGACTTCTACAACTCCTGGGAAGATTTACGCCACAATTCAGCCTTACTACCTTGTCGTGACGCGGTGATGGATCTGCTTCAGTCTTGTCGAGAACTCAAAGACGCCATGAACTTTTTCGGTGAAGTGGGTACTGAATCAGCTTTTCTCTGCCAGCATCTAAAGTTCTTGCTGAGCTTTGCTGAGCTGTGCGAGAGTTCCAATGAATGGCGTTGTCGCCAATTTGTGAAAAGCATCATGGATGTTGCTAACATAGCTCTTGAGGCGCTGGAGTGTGCAGATAAAGATAGTCTTAGGTCAGAGATGTGGGAATTTGAATCATGTGAATATGCTTCAGCTGAGCTTGTGACGGAAAATTGTATCGAGGAGACGGCCAAGAAATTTTTTGATGGGAAAAATGGCAAGCGATTGGTTTTGTTGGAGACTTTAGGAGTGCTTCATTCCTTCACGGAAGAGATTGATACTACTTGTGGGAAACTTGGCAGCGAAGATCGTCAATTGAATAATGCTTCATTTGGAAGAAATGGTTTTCCTTCATTGTCTGTGATTCGTGAGAAGTTTGCTAGAGGAGATCTTCCTTCGCTGCCTATGACGTATTATCTACGTGCTTTTCCTTTAATTGAAAGAAGAAAAAGAGAAAGAGTTAAAAGTGTTAGGTCTGGTATCAGACGACCTAACAAACAAGTTAATTATCTACGTGCTTTCCGAGGGAAAAGAAGAAGAGTTGTTAATGTCTGGTCTGATACCAGACTAGAATTACAAACGAGTCGAGTCGATTCGAAATTTGATCTAAATGAGCCGAATCTCGACTTAGTTTTATCAAGCTCAAACTCGAACTCAAATTCAACGAGTTGCTATTCTAAAGCTCAAGCTCAAACTGGAGCTCTAGAGTTCGAGCTCGACTTGAGATTTGGCCTAATTGAGTCGAATTTCGACTTAGTTTTATCAAACTCGAATTCGAGCTCGAATTCTGCTATTTTAAAGCTCAAGCTCAAACTCGAGCTCTCGATCTAGAGCTCAAGCTCGAGCTCGAACTTTCAAACTCGAGCACTTAAAACAGACTTTGAGTCCGACATTGACCAAATTCGAGTTGAACTTTGACTCGAGCTGTTCGTGAACCGCTAAGAGAGCTTTTAATGAGTTATTTAGACCTTTGGATCATCGAGTAAATATTTTGAGTTCTCTTGTGTTTTAGTAATTAAATGCTTTTGGGTCTAAAAACACTTTTTTAAAGCTTTTATACTCTGTTTCATGGTGAAATTCTACTCTCCCTTCACTCCTCTACTTGATGGTGAAATTCTACTACTCTTTCGACGTAAATCCCATAATCTGGCGTCTGTTCTCGTTGATCATAGCTTTCTGGAGAATGCAACTACATAAACAGCGATACATTGCTGAGAACATGATCAGCACAGCACAGCTTTGTACTCTCCAAGAGATTAATGTTCCCCGATTTTCAATTGTGTTGGAAGCCTTGCAGGCTACCAGCAGATACCTATGTAGATTCGTGCATGTTAAAAAGAATACATGGTTGATTTATTATGCATTTTCCAGGAAGGGAAGCGGCGTGCGTTTAGAATAGGTACAAAAGTTAATTTATCCTTAGCGTACCGTCCTGATTCCTCGATTGTAGTTTCAAGGTTTTATTATTATTTTTTCTTTTGGTAAAATAGTTTCAAGATACTTACTGCAAAATGTCCTTGTGATATACTAATGCAAATGAAACACCTCGTTAAAATTTGTTTCTGAAAGAAAACAGAAATGCTTTATGATGGACACACTTAAGAATGCACATATTCCCAGACCAAGAACTACGCAGTAAAGAATTTTCTATTTGAACTCCTTAAACTAGGTAACCATTCCTGTGTGTCTCTTTGATGGAGGTTTTGGTTCCCTAGGGTTGCATCAGAACTTGGTAATATTATTATTGCGGACGTTAAAAAATTTCGTGGTCATATTATTGTTTTTCTTGGCCAAGTTTTAGTCTCCGGATGCAAGCCTAGAAGGTGGCTCAACCTTACAGGATCTTGATCTTCGAGGCCAAACCAAGTGCTTCACATCTTGATAAACTATATGTGAACGTTGGAACACAATGCAGGAAAAAATTTATTTGAGTTAACTAATTTCATTCGTGATTGGGTCGTTTTGTGGTAATCTAATTGTTAGAGAACCAAATTTTGAAAGTGAAGCGTACAAACGTGCTATTGTTGTTAATCTTGGCTTATAGCTTTCGATTTCTGTCTTCCATCAAAACCAAAGCCAAATTCATTGAATGTGTTAATAGTTTGTTTTATTGTCTTCAAAAACGGATGAGAAAGCATTGCGGATTAACTGGATTTTCTCGTTCTATATGCCCGTTTGATCATCAAGCTCAGGTTAAGTGTTTGATATCTCTGCTGTTATGAAAATTGGCCAGATAGGCCCATAGCTAGCAGGTCAATTGATCCTGCAAAGATCATTCATCTCCCCCACCAAAACCAGTGTTTTAAAAACCGGACCGAATTGGATGACAAACCGACCTTAGCTTTGGTCCGATTCATGTTTTGAGTTGATTATATTTAAAAATCAGATTGAATCGTTCGAACCGAATTGAACCGGTGATTTTTTGTTTTTGTTTTTGTCTATTAAATTGAAAAATTTTCTTTAAAAAAAAATATTTTCCTTAACCCTAAAGACTAATTATTAAATGCCACATTCAATCACTTTCTTCTTATTTTTTACCTCTTATCAAGTTTGTATTTTTATTTTCTATTTTCTTGACTTTCTCCAAACTCTAAATTTCTTTTTTTTTTTAAGTTGCAATATCTAAATATCAAAAACTTGAATTAAAATTTAAACTCACAATATCTAATTCTCATAGACGTGAATTTTGTATAATTTCAAAATATTGTGATATTTTTTAGTTGGATTTAAGATTAATTTTTTGATAAATTCAATTAAAATTGAGATGAAATTTATTTATTTCAACTGATAATCAAAAAATTTATTTGTGAAAATCCAAGTTCTTTGAAAATATTAATTTTTTCATCATATAAAGTTTTAAATTAATCCAATGCATGTCTTATTTTTTGCATATATATTTATATAAATTATTTTTAAAAAAATTCATTGAATCAGGGTTAAACTGATCCGATCGGTTGAACCTCGATCCAAACACCTCACCGATTCAATTAACGATCCGGGTTTCAAAACATTGAAAAAAAAAAAACAGTACCAAGCAGTAATGCTGCTATACCATTAAAAAAAAAAAACCACCAAAATAAAGTCGACAAAATCTTATCGGGCTTAAGTTATTTTATGCCATCCTAGAAGTGCTCCTTTGATCTGATGAGAGATCACATCTAGAATCAGTAGAATGTAAGAGTTGCAACTTCCTCAATCATGCAGAGGAGGAGCCATTAGGCCTTGGTAGGCTGGTATAGGATATCATAAATAAATTCTGGAACAGTGCCTTTCTAAAATTCTGGGAGGTAAAAGACAGAATTAGGCCCTGGTAACTGGTTTTTTTTTTTTTAATAATTTCTTTCTTGGTGCTATGGTATCTAACTCATCTGTTTCATGTCTAATGAGCTAGGAGATTCCAATGTTCTGGGATGCAGAATTTTCATTATTATCCCTATGCTCATGGTGACAAGTCACATAAAAGATCATGTTTGGCTGCATAGTGAACACATTTCCAGATTTTAGAATGAGTATCCCCTAGATCCAAGCCTCCATATCCCTTTTCGGTTAGAACCATGGTCAGGAAGTAAGATGATGAGAAAGTTTTGCATAAAACATATCTAAGCAGCATAAAACTACTATACTAAGTAGTAAATGATCAAAGGGACAAGAAGGCAGGGCAAAGAGAGCCTACTACTACCTTATGACTCAGTAAGCAATTACTAAGTTCTGAATCCGAGAGATCTGAGCCTATAGAATAAATTGTGGAAGAGGAGAATCCCCAGGAAATCACCGGGATGGGAGGACTAGGGAAGATCAAGATTTGATCACTCAAACAAAAAATGACCAAAGATTTACCTCAAACCTTCCCCAGTCACCCATCCCACTAATTTTCTGAAGATTAAGCTCCCTTTCCCTCTCATTCCTCTTCTTGCTATACAAATATGATCATCGACTACTACTCCTTTTTTTTTCTCTCTCTCTCTCTTTTTGCACAGAATTTTATGAACAAGTGATAGGTTGTAAGAGTAGAAAAAAGGAAAGGAAGAAACTCTAGAAACCCATAGGAATGGGAGGACTGGGAAAGAAAAGCAGAATAAAAAACAAAAAAGATTCGTATTCTAGTTCGTTATAGATGCTTTTCTTGCCAAACCTCCCATTTCCTCTGGAATTTCCAAGGCTTCTTCCTTTTCTCTTACCCTTAATTGCTCTTGCCGACTTGGGACAGAGGGGAAGACGTTGTTACTGTTCATTATTTAGAGATGTCTGCAATGTGCTTCATAAAGCAGAGGCACCCACCTGTCGCCACGTTTTCCATTGAATAATAGTCATTGTTGGCAGGCAGAAAGAAAGAACCCACGATGCGACTGGCCTGTTCTCTCTTACTATTATTGTTATGGATGTAATCCAAAATCGAGTCGAATATTGCCATACTCAGAGTCTCGAGTTCGATTTGACTTGCACGAAGGATATTCGAGTTCAAGCTCGAATGAGTAGCATTACTGGAGTTTGAACTGAAGATCGACACATTACTTATAGAACTCGAACTCGATTCGCATGGAATCTAGTCAAAACGAGTCCTATCGAGTTCGAGTCAGAATGATTTGGAGATATCATTTTTCCTGACAAATTTCAAGCAAAAAGATATTATTGCCCTTTAAAAATTTTCATATAATCTAAAACATTTTGTAAATTTAACCACTTTTATAAGCACAAAAGTAATTTTATAAGAATAATATATTAAAAATTTAAAATTTAAAAACTTAATAAAGCTTGACAAGCGTTCGAGTCTTGCTATTGGATAATCAAACTCGACTCATTTGGCCTTATTAGGCAGTTCGAGTCGAGTTTTTGACCAAACTGCTCGCAAGTAGTACTTCTGTATTGTGTTGCTGCCTACAGAAAAAAAGCATCCAGGAAGTGATAAACCATTTTGTAAATTATACGAGAGTTATGGTCATAATTCAAAATCATTCATCAATAAGTTTCTAACATTCCTTTAAAAAAAAAAAGTAAGTAAGTTTCTAACACTTAACCCGAGCTAATATTCATTCCTCTTCAAATCTGGAAAGATAGGTGTTATAAGTCTAAATCAAATTATTTGATTTTTGTCTGGTTTTTAAGTCTCTGTCTTTACACAAAAATCGATACAAATGCTTTTTTACAGTAACTAATTCAAACTACTTGGATTTAGTTAAAGTTCTTGCCAAATTGTTCCTTTAGGAATGAAGCTAATGCAAGTATGCTACTCCCTTCGCAGGGTCCGGTCCAACTGTTCTAGGACTCCTAAATATTCAACTGTTTTCAAGAAAATTGAGAAGAAATCAAAGACAAGACTTTTGGCACTTGGGGCGACTTGGCTGCTTCATCTTCGTCGACCACATTTTCAGTTTGCAATACTTGTATGACCAGAGATAAGATGGTTAGTATGGGTGGCTTATGCCATTGCTTCTCTTTTGTAAACCCTGCAGCATCTGCTGCGCTTCCAAATTAAACAATTGCAGGCTCGAGATTTCAGTAGAAAATGTTCGTTGCTTTCTAGAGCACCTGATTATATGAATATGCACTTTAGAAGAATTATCCAAGGGATTTCGAACGTGAATATGCACCTGATCATTTGTATTTTCCTCCTATACTTTTGTTTTGGATTCAGTCACTAACTGGAATTAGTAAACTTAGAGCTCCAGCATTTGACGGTCAAAGTATCCCACAAAATTCATGCGCTTTGAAACTGTTCATATTTACGAAGATCAATTTCTCTTATATGAATTGTGTACCAGCTCAGGAGAAAAAAGAGGAAAAAAAAAAGAGAGAAAAGGGTCATACTTTCACAGTTTCACTTATTTTTAACCTCAAAAAAAAAAGGTGAGAGAGATAGGTAAACTCGAAATATAATTTACACAAAAATCGATACAAAATGCTATTTACAGTAATTAATTCAAACTACTTGAATTTGGTAATAGTTCTTGCCAAATTGTTCCTTTAGGAATGCAGCTAATGCAAGTATGCTACTCCCTTTGCAGGGTCCGGTCCAACTGTTCTAGGACTCCTAAATATTTAACTTTTGTCAACTAACGAGGTCCCCCCAAAGAAAATTGAGAAGAAAAGAAATAAAAGACGAGACTTTTGGCACTTGGGGAGACTTGGCTGCTTCATCCTTCGCTGACCACAAGTTCTCATCGCCGGCTTTCTTCTAGCAATCGTGATTCCGATCATCAAAGGCCGTTTCTCCTCTGCTGCTGGTAAGCTGTAGCTTCTCTCTCGCATGCATAGTTGTCAGGCCCCAGTTCTTTTGCTTTGTCCTAGATGTTAGCATGTTGTTATTTTATTTTCTTTTATATTTACTTAGTGCAGTCCGGTTAAAGGTTTAAATCCAAACATGAAGGGTGATTTCTTTGTTAATTTGCTATTGATTACATCGGGTAGGATTGACTTTGACAGAGGGAAAGATGGCTAATGATGAAATTCTTAGTCTGTTGGTGGAGGAGGTGGACGAGTTAACTACTATCCTACGCAAAATACTGAATATCAAGGTATTGCAAGCCAAGTTATTTATAGAAAAAGTTGATATGGTCATCAGAGTGTTGGAAATGGAAGGACCCCCAACTTTGCCGGACCAATTACTAGAAGATATTGCACCTCTTGCACTGCCTATAGGAGATTTTGCTCGGAGAACTAAGCTACTAAGTTCTTCACCGTTATATGATGAGTATAGGATGAATATTCGTCACGGCTGGAAACGAATGCTATCAAGAGAAGTGCCAGAATTAGTAGAACAGATTGGTTTAAATGAGAATAAGCTGGAGAAATTTCTTGATGAATCTGACTTCTACAACTCCTGGGAAGATTTACGTCGCAATTCAGCCTTACTACCTTGTCGTGAGGCGGTGAGGGATGTGCTTCAGTCTTGTCGAGAACTCAAAGACGCTATGAACTTTTTCCGTGAAGTGGGGACTGAATCAGCTTTTCTCTGCCAACATCTAAAGTTCTTGCTGAGATTCGCTGAGCTGTGCGAGCGTTCCAATGAATGGCGATGTCGCCAATTTGTGAAAGGCATCATGGATGTTGCTAACAAAGCTCTTGAGGCGCTGGAATGTGCAGATAAATATAGTCTTAGATTAGAGATGCGGGAATTTGAATCATATGAATATGCTTCAACAGAGCTTGTAACGGAAAATTGTATTGAGGAGGCGGCCAAGGAATTTTTTGATGGGAAACATGGCAAGCGATTGGTTTTGTTGGAGACTTTAGGAATGCTTCATTCCTTCACGGAAGAGATTGATACGACTGGTGGGAAACTTGGCAGCGAAGATCCTCAATCGCATAACGCTTCATCTGGAAGAAATGGTTTTCCTTCACTGTCTGTGATTCGTGAGAAGTTTGCTAGAGAAGATCTTCCTTCACTGCCTCTCACGTATTATCTACGCGCGTTTCCTTTAATTGAAGGAAGAAAAAGAAAAAGAGTTAATAGTGTTAGGTCTGGTATCAGACGGCCTAACAAACAGGATAATTATCTTCATGCTTTCCGAGGAAAAAGAAGAAGAGTTATTAGTGTTAGGTCTGCTACTAGATTAGGGTTGCAAATGAGTCGAATTAAGTCGAAATTTGACCTAATCGAGTTAAATCTCGAGTTAATTTTATCAACGTCGAACTCGAACTTAGTCTCGACGAGCTGCAAATCTAAAACTCAAACTCGAGCTCTCGAGCTTGAGCTCAAGCACGAGCAGTTGGAGCTCGAGCTTCAGTTGCAGCTGAATCTAGAGCTCGAGCGCTTAAAAAATAAAAATTAATTACTTTATTTTTTAAAAATAAATAAAATCTATTTCTTAATAAATAATAAAATATTAAGAACATATGTGTAATTTTATTATTAAAATAAAAAATAATATATATATATTTGAATATTTTTGAACTCGAGTTCAAGTTTAAACTTGATGTTGATCGAGGTTGAGTTGAGTTTTGACACACTCGCGAGCAGCTCGATTCATTTTCAACCCTATACAAGACCTAATAACCAGGTTAATTATCTACGTGCTTTTCGAGGAAAAAGAAGAGTTATTGGTGTTAGGTCTAGTACGAGATCGGTTAAGCGTCAAGTTTCGACAATGATGACAAAATAAATGTTAATAGAATGAGAATGCATGCAATACTGCCGCCGCGAACGGAGAAATAGCTCGTAGAGGGTTTTGTGAAGAAGATAGAGCAAAATTACTTACTGTATTCTTGATTTTGATCCGTTAGATCACCAAACCGCTGAGAGAGCTTTTAACGACTTATTTAGACCTTTGGATCATCGAATAAATATTTTGAGTTCTCGTGTTTTAGTAATTAAATGCTTTTGGGTGTATGGGTTCTCTTGTGTTTGAGTAATTAATAGTGTGTTTGGATTGCATTTTTCATGATTTTTCATGGAAAAATTACTGTAGCGATTTGATGTATGTGAGGGAAAAAGATAATAGGAAAATGTGATCACGAAAAATGACGTAAATGCTTTTGGGTCTAGAAACACTTTTTTAAAGCTTTTATACTCTGTTCATGGTGAAATTCTACTACTCTTCCTTCACTGCTCTGCTTTACGGTGAAATTCTACTCCTCTTTCGTGGTAAATCCCATAATCTGGCGTCTGTTCTCGTTGATCATAGTTTTCTAGAGAATGCAACTACATAAACAGCAATGCATTGCTCAGAGCATGATCAGCACAGCTTTGTGCTCTCCAAGAGATTAATCTTCCCCGATTTTCAATTGTTGAAGCCTTGCAGTGTATTTAATTTACCAGCAGCTACCTATGCAGACTCGTGCATGTTAAAAAGAATACATATGGTTACTTTATTATGCACTTTCCAGGAAAAGAAAGCGGCGTGCATTTAGAATAGGTACAAAAGTTAATATTATATTATTTTCTTTTGGTAGAATAGTTTCAAGATACTTGCTGCAAAATGTCCTTTGTGATGTGCTAATGCAAATGAAACACCTTGTTAAAATTCGTTTCTAAAAGAAAACAGAAATGCTTTATGATGGACTCACTTAAGAAGAATGCATATACTCCCAGACCAAGAACTTCGCAGTAAAGAATATTCTATTTGAAATCCATGTTACCTTGAAATCCTTAAACTAGGTAACCATTCCTGTGTATCTCTTTGATGCAGGTTTTGGTTCCCTAGGGTTGCATCAGAATTTGGTAATAGTATATGAGGATGTTAAAAAAATTTCGTGGTCATATTATTATTTTTCTTGGCCAAGTTTTAGCCTCCGGATGCAAGCCTAGAAGGCAGCTCCATCTTACAGGATCTTGATCTTCCAGGCCAGGCCAATCCAAGTGTTTCACATCTTGATAAACTATATGTGAACGTTGGAACACAATGCAAGAAAAAATTTATTTGAGTTAACTAATTTCATTCCAGATTGGGTCGTTTTGTGGTAATCTAATTGTTGAGAACCAAAACGTGTTATTGTCGTTAATCTTGGCTTAGATTTCCATTTCTGTCTTCCATCAAAACCAAAGCCAAATTCATTGACTGTGTTAAATAGTTTATTTTATTGTCTTCAAAAACAGATGAGAAAGGATTGCGGATTAACTGGATTCATATGCCCATTTGAGCATCAAGCTCAGGTTTACTGTTTGATATCGCTGCTGTTTTGCAAATTGGCTAGATAGGCCTATAGATAGCAGGTCAACTGATCCTAGAGACCCTCCCCCCCAAAACACCCACCAAAAAAAAAACCCAGTACCAAGCAGTAATGCTTCTATACCATTCAAAAAAAATACAAAAACCACCAAAATAAAGTTGACAAAATCTTTTATGGGGCTTCAGTTATTTTATGCAATCCTTGTAGTGCTCCTTTGATCTGATGAGAGATCACATCTAGAATCAGTAGAATGTAAGAGTTGCAACTTCCTCAATCATGGAGAGGAGGAGCCATTAGTCCCTGGTAGGCTGGTACAGGATATCATAAATCAATTCTGGAACAGTGCCTTTCTAAAAATTTTTGGAGATAAAAGATAGGACATATTGGTTTTTTTTTTTAATAATTTCTTTCTTGGTGCTACGATATCTAACTTATCTATTCCATGTTAAAATGAGCCAGGAGATTCCAATGTTCTGGGATGCAGAATTTTCATTATTATCCCTATACTCATGGTGGCAAGTCACATAAAAGATCATGTTTGGTTGCATGGTGAACACATTTCCAGATTTTAGAATGAGTATCCCCAAGATCCAAGCCTCCATAGCCCTTTTCGGCTAGATCCATGGCCAGGAAATATGATGATAAAAAAGTTTTGCATAAAACATATCTAAGCAGCATAAAACTACTCTACTAAGTAGTAATTGATCAGGGGACAAGAAGGCAGAGCAAAGAGAGACTACTACTACCTTATGACTTAGTAAGCAATTACTAAGTTCTGAATCCGAGAGAGATCTGAGCCTGAGAATAAGTTGTGGAAGAGGAGAATCCACAGGAAATCACTGGGATGGAAGACTGAGGCGGATCAAGATTTGATCGCTCAAAACATAAAATGACCAAAGATTTACCTCAAGTCTTCCCCAGTCTCCCACCCCACTAATTTCCTGAAGATTAAGCTCCCTTTCCCTCTCATTCCTCTTCTTGCGATACAAATATGATCATCGACTACTCTCTCTCTTTTTTTTCCTTTTCCTTTTCCTTTCCTGCACAGAATTTTATGAACAAGTGATGGGGTGTAGTAAGAGTAGAAAAAGGAAAGGAAGAAACTCTCGAAACCCATAGGAATGGGAGGACAGGGAAAGAAAAGCCGAATAAAAAACAAAAAGGATTATTCATATTCTAGTTTATTTTAGCTGCTTTTCTTGCCAAACCTCACATTTCCTCTGGATTTTCCAAGGCATCTTCCTTTCCTCCTACCCCTAATCACTTCTGCCGACTCGAGGCCAGAGGGGAATGCTTTGTCATATTCATTATCTGGAGGTGTCTGCAAAGTCCTTCACAAATCAGAGGCCCCCACCATTTCCATTGAATAATAGTCATTGTCGGCCGGCAGGTGTAAAGAAAGAGAGAAACCACGACGTGACTTCCATGTGCTGTCCTATTGTATTGCCTTGCTGCCTACCGAAGAAAAGCATCCAAGAATTGATAAAACCATTTTGTAAAATTATACTACTATGAGATTTATGGACATAATTCAAAATCATTCAACAATAAGTTTCTAACATTCCTCAACAAAAAAAATAGAAAATTAATATTAATTTCTCTTCATATCTGGTTTTTATGTCTTTTTCTTTTTCCTGTATTTATAAAATGCCAACGAAACTAACAAAAAAGGCATATATTCTAAAAAGGCTCATTGTCAAGGTGGTGGGGCAGCCTAAAAGCGCGTTGCGTAGCTTCAAGGCTGAAAAAAGTCGACCAAACAAATGGTGATGGAAAGGCCTGTGCGCACCTCGTGAGCTCCTGGTTCGTTGAATTAAATACACCGACGCAAGTCTGAGTCATCCGTCTAGATTCATTTGTACAGTCATTCAACCTCTAGTTTTACTTTCTTTTTTTTTAGTAATTATATAGATTTATCTTGTCTTGATTGTTTAAAGGGATAATTGCAGAAACCTCATGGGAGATTTCTAATACTAGCATTCACTGCCCTTGTGATTTAGAAAATAACACTTATCACTCTTGAACTTAAGGTTTGTGTTGCAGATTCAGTTCATGCCAGAAAAATTAACATTAAATTTTTTTTTTAAGGACTGAGATGAAAAATTTGTACCATATTTGCCTTCTATGCTGCTTGCCAAGTTATATTAACAGAGTAATGACAATATACGAAAAGCTATTAACAATTAGCAAAATTCAAGGGGTGTAAGTGCAATTGAATGAGATTTACCAACAATACATGAAACAACGTGGATACTAATGCTAGTTAAATGACTATATATCCAAGTTCTTGCAACAAAGTTTATAAAAAATATACGTTACTTTTAAATCTCTCTACTAGTAATATGAATAGCTATTGGTAGGGGTAACACAACTGTTTATGTTGTCAGCACCAATCATATACAAAATAAAATATCGCTCAACAATCAGCTAATTAATAGCATACTTAAACATCACTAAAAGTTACTGAGTATGAGATAAATCTAGTTACAAGTAATTAGAAGTGCATACTAATAAGATAAAATTGTCTTTAGTAAATGAAAGTACAGTAAATGTATTAGAACCACGTACTCAAACTACTGCTGCTGCTACTGATATTTCCAGATTATAGGGTTATAACCATATTAATGGGGTAGCAACTTGAGAAGTAGTAGTAGGCTGAACTAGAAAAGGTTTTGAAATAAAAATGACTTAAGCAGATATATTTGTGCAAGTTTTTTTTATACATACTTTAGTAAAAGCTCTAGAATTGCTTACTGGTCTTCCTCTCTGTAGTTATATAAAAATAGACTTAAATTGTTTGGTTTGAAGAACATAATATATAATAAACATGTACGCCGTTTTTTCCTCTTAATTGGCACCGTTCCTTAGTTTGCTTACAATGGCTAATGATGCTAAAGCTCATAGGTAATCTAGTTTAATTAGTCACTCAATTTATAGACAAAAAATAAATTTTCTTTTCTAAAAGTCTTTCATTAAGTTTCTATAATTAGTTAGGGTATAAAAGTAAAATCATACAATTTATTGTTAGTAATAGGTCCAATTTCCTCCTAGGGGAGGTTAGTGCAATTTTAGAAATCATAGGGGAGATGAGTGCTAGTGTCAGAAACCTCAGGGGAGGTTTCTGCAATTATCCCTTGTTTACATATTGAAAATCTTCTTATATTCAGTGAAATCTTTTCATCCAATGGGCAAATTGAATTAGTTATATTTTTTTAGCTGCAAAGTTGTTTAAAGTATTCAAACATATTTGAGTTTTTTTTAGCTCGGGCTCTTTTAAACTCGACTTATTTATGTCATTTTGTTAAGCTCGAACTCAAATTTGAACTTGAAATTATTTTAATAAGCTAAACTCGAACACAATTTTTGACTCGTTACAATAAATTCAACTCAATAACTTGAAAGCTAAAAACTCAATTAAGCTCGACTCATTCAATAAGTCTTAAATTGTACCTTTAATATAATATAAGCTAGTCTAAGAGGAGTACCTTTAATACACTTTAAACTAGTCTTAGAGTACCACTAATATTATATGTAAGAATACATGCCTTGAACGTTGTATGTTTCGTCTTTCGAGACTTCTTTATTGTAACATGGTTTTTATTTTTATTTTTTTAAAAAAACCTACTAGGCTGTACAGAATTTTATGAACAAGTGATGGGTTGTAAGAGTAGAAAAAAGGAAAGGAAAAAACTCTAGAAATGCATAGGAATGGGAAGACTGGGAAAGAAAAGCGAAAAAAAAAAGGATTCAAATTCTAGTTTAGTTCAGTTGCTTTTCTTGGCATTCTTGCCAAACCTCCAAGGCTTCTTTCTTTTCTCCTACCCTTAATCACTTCTGCTGACTTGGGACCGGAAAGGAACACGTTGTTACTATGCATTATAGGGATAATTTCAAAAACATCCCTTGAGGTTTCAAATAATTTCACTTGGCTCCCTTCAGGTTTAAGAAATTACACTTACTTCCCCTGATATAGTAAAGTACCAAAGATACCCTTCACTTAGTAGACAATTCTCAATTTAAAGCAATAGATTTACAAAACCCAAAAAATTCTATTTTTCTATCTCTTGTCTACTTTTGCTCTTTTTTTTTTCTAGTTAATATACTACTATACCTTTTTTCGTTATCTTCAATTTTATGGATATTAGCAAATTGAAATTGCAAAATTAACAAAGGAAGCAAATTATGTGTCAAACTAGAAGGAAATGAAAAGACTGGCAGTAATAGAGAAATAAATAATAAAATTGATTATTGAAATAGGAAGAAGAAGCAAAGATGTGAAATTTGTTATATTTTGCTTGTTGTCAAGAAGCATATTTGTAAAATGTCAATAATTGCATAAGAATTTCTTTCATTGGACTATAAATTTTTTGCTATGATTTTATTGTGAATGTAGAATTTATTATCTACTTTTGAGATATTAATATTTTTAAGGTAATAAGAGAGTTGTAATGTTGGTTTTATGCTAGATTTACTTGTATTGAAAAGGTATTTGAGTGTTGAGATTTAATTTTAGAATATAAAATTAGTTGTCAATGATATGTGTGTGTGTTTGCCTATTTTTTGTATTTGTATTTTTTTTGTATGATAAACATTGATGCTGTATATGCAATTTGAGATCTTTTAGACAATTACTTAGATTTGGAACTTGTGATTGGATGGTTGCTAGAGATTAGGTTTGTCAATTTATGCAAAGTGTGGAAGAAAATGATTGAATATACTATGTTTTTCTTTTTTAGTTTTGTTAGAAAAGTGTCATTTAGGATTTTTGAGAGAAAATCTACTTTGTTGGACCTACATTGTTGTATATAAATATAAAAGTAGAGAAGGTCAATATAATTTTTAAAACTTGAGAGGAGCTCTCTGTAATTATTAAAAATCTTAGGAGTGATTTATGAAATTATCCCTTCATTATATAGAGATGCGTGCAAAGTGCATCATAAAGCAGAGGGCCCATCTGTCGTACCTTTGAATAGGAGTTTATTTGAAATAATTATTATAGCAAATTTTGTGATATGATATATATGAGATAAAAAATTAATTAAAAAATTAAAAAAAATATTAAAATTTGGGAAGTAAATTATTATTATTTTTTTCAATTCATCCCAATCCAAACACGCTAATCATCCCAATCCCAATCCAAAAAGAGAGAACCCACGATGTGACTTCCCCGTGCTATCCTATTGTATTGTCTTGCTGCCTGCAGAAGACAAGCATCCAAGAATTTTTTTTTTTGAAAATAATTACAATTGTGTAACCTATTTTATTTTAAACTACAAAGAAACGGAGTCCAAAGAGGCTTGTATTAGGAATTAGTATGTACACAAATCTTATTAGATCAAAAAGGATGCTTTGACATCATCCTTAAATTTTTTTTGTTGCAGCTAAATTTTGGACCCTCGCCTACAGCCAATCCAATCCACTGAGCCAAGCTCAGTGGTTAGAAAAACATCCAAGAATCGATAAAACCATTTTGTAAATTATACGAGAGTTATGGACATAATTCAAAATCATTTATCATTAAGTTTCTAACATTCATAAAAAAAATAAAAAAAAAGAAAGAAAGAAAGAAAGCAAGTTTCTAACACTTAACTCGAGCTAACATTCATTTCTCTTCATATCTGGGAAGATAGGTGTTTTAAGTCTAAATCAAATTATTTGATTTTTGCCTGGTTTTTAAGGCTGAAGTAATTAGTCTACCGGATGCTCATTCATCTTGAATTTTATAGGTTTCACTAAAGCAACAAAATTAAAGACATGTTAAAGTTGATTTGTGAAAGTTGCCATACAAAAGCTTAAAAAAAAAATGCCAAATTGGACCACATGTTTGTATGTCTTGGTAAATCCGTAAATGGTAACCTCAGGACCACATGGTTAGTAGCAATTAATTTTTTATGTGTTTAGTTGTATCTTTATTTTTTAAAATTTTTTGATTTTTTTTTTAGTTTGAGCAATTAGATTTATATTTTTATAATAAAATTTTAACTTTTTCAAGTTAAGTTGATGAAATTGTGAAGGTGGTGTTGTTGCTTATTATGGCATTGATGGAAGTTTGTTATTTAAATGGTTTGTCTTGAATATGAGTCAGACTCTTTGATGGACTTTTTTAAAGATTGTAAAAGAATTTCAATATTTATTTTATTTATTTTTGTGTTTTTATTTGTGATAATTGATGAACATTTGGATTGTATCTATTCATGTTTGTAATGAATTTATGAAAACTTGTGGTGAATTATGATATTTTAATTATGTTTATCATTCCAGGTTTTATGTATAACTTTTAGGAAATTTGTTATTATCTCAATTTAAATTTAGTTATGTTGGTGAATGCATTTTAAAAACTTAAATTATCACTAACCATGTTAAATTGGACATTAGGTGTCAAGTTCAAGTGTAGAATGAAAACCTGTGAAATACTTAACACTTAAGTTGCAAAAAAAAACAAAAAAACCAGAAAACAGGTGAACCGGCCGGGCGAACCGATCAGACTGCGAACTGGACCTCTCTCCGGTTGGCTGACCGGTTCGAGTTTAAAAACATTAATATGATGTATGTGCATTAAAAGCACGATGCGACTTCCCAGTGCTCTCTTACTGTTGGGGATGTAATCCAACCGAATTAGCCTCCAATATCTCGACTCGACTTGCAAGGAGGAGAGCTCGAGTTAAGGAGAGCTCGAGTTTCATTGCTCTTAGAACTTGAGCTTGACTCGCATGGATTCAAGTCAAAACGAACCTTATCGAGCTTGAGTCATAAAGATTTGAGGATTTCTTTTTTCTTGACAAATTTTAAGCCAAAAGATATTGTCGCCCTTCAAAAAATTTCAACCACTCTTATGAGTACAAGAGTAATTTCATAATAATAGTATATTAAAAAAATAAAATTTTAAAACTCGAAAAGGTTTGATGAACTTTTGAGTTTTGCTATCGAATACTTGAACTCGACTTATTTGGCCCGATCGAGCTACTCGAATTCAATCGAGTCGAGTTTTTGATCGCGTTACTCGCAAGCAACATGTGAATAGTTTGATTCGATTACAACTCTACTATTCTATTGTATTGTTGCCTATAGAAGAAAAGCATCCAAGAAGTGATAAACCATTTTGTAAATTATATGAGAGTTATGGACATAATTCAAAATCATTCATCAGTAAGTCTCTAACATTCCTCAAAAAAAAAAGTAAGTTTCTAACACTTAGTTTTATCAAGGTCGAACTCTAACTTAATATCGACGAGCTGCAAATCTAAAACTCAAACTCGAGCTCTCGAGCTTGAACTCGAGGGCAAGCAGCAGCAGCTGAAGCTCAAGTGGCTGAAGCTCAAGCACTTGAAGCTCGAGCACGAGCAGCTTGACCTCGAGTGCAAGCAGCTGCAGCTCCAGAATGAGCAGCTAAAGCTCGAGCTCGAGTGCTTAAATAAATAAAAAATTAAATGCTTCTGGGTCTATGAGTTCCCGTGTTTTAGTAATTAAATGCTTTTGGGTCTGGAAACAATTTTCTAAAGCTTTTATACTCTGTTTCATGGTGAAATTCTACTCTTCCTTCACTGCTCTACTTTGTGGTGAAATTCTACTCCTCTTTCGTGGTAAATCCCATAATCCGGCGTCTGTTCTCGTTGATCTTAGTTTTCTAGAGAATGCAACTACATAAACAGCAATGCATTGCCCAGAACATGATCAGCACAGCTTTGTGCTCTCCAAGAGATTAATCTTCCCCGATTTTCAATTGTTGAAGCCTTGCAGGGTATTTAATTTACCAGCAGATACCTATGTAGATTCATGCATGTTAAAAAGAATACATGGTTACTTTATTATGCATTTTCCAGGAAAGAAAGCGGCATCCGTTTAGAATAGGCACAAAAGTTAATTATTATTTTTTCTTTTGGTAAAATAGTTTCAAGATATACTAATGCAAATGAAACACCTCGTTAAAATTCGTTTCTAGAAGAAAACAGAAATGCTTTATGATGGACACACTTAAGAATGCATATATTCCCAGACCAAGAACTACGCAGTAAAGAATTTCCTATTTGAAATCCATGTTAGCTTGAAATCCTTAAACTAGGTAACCATTCCTGCGTATCTCTTTGATGCAGCTTTTGGTCCTCTAGGGTTGCATCAGAATTTGGTAATAGTATATGAGGATGTTAAAAAAATTTCGTGGTCATATAAACATTTAGTATAGTTAGGCAAGAATATGCATTTCCTGGGCAAGTTTTAGTCTCCGAATGCAAGACTAGAAAGCGTGTCCATCTTACAGGATCTTGATCTTCCAGACCATAAACTATTAATGCAAGAAAAATTTTATTTAATTAATTTCATTTGTGATTGGGTCGTTTTGTTGTAATCTAATTGTTAGATAACCAAATTTTCGAAGTGAAGCGTACAAACGTTGTTATTGTTGTTAATCTTGGCTTAGATTTCCATTTCTGTCTACCATCAAAATCAAAGCCAAATTCTTTGAATTTGTTAATAGTTCATTTTATTGCCTTCAAAAACGGACGAGAAAGAATTGCGGATTAACTGGATTTTGTCGTTTCATATGCCCATTTGATCATCAAGCTCGGGTTTACTGTTTGATATCGCTACTGTTCTGCAAATTGGCCAGATTAGCCTATGGCTAGCAGGTCAATTGGCTTAGATTTCTTTCTTGGTGCTACGGTATCTAACACATCTGTTTCATGTCTAATGAGCTAGGAGACTCCAATGTTCTGGGATGCAGATTTTCATTCTTATTCCTATACTCATGGTGGCAAGTCACATAAAAGATCATGTTTGGTTGCATGGTGAACACATTTCCAGATTTTAGGAGGAGTATCCCCAAGATCCAAGCCTCCATTGCCCTTTTCGGCTAGAACCATGGTCAGGAAATATGATGATGAGAAAGTTTTGCATAAAACATATCTAAGCAGCATAAATGATAAAACTACTACGCTAAGCAGTAATTGATCAAGTGACAAGAAGGCAGAGCAAAGAGAGACTACTACTACCTCATGACTTAGTAAGCAATTACTGAGTTCTGAATCCGAGACCGAGAGATCTGGGCCTGCAGAATAAGTTGTGGAAGAGGAGAATCCACAGGAAATCACCGGGATGGGAGGACTAGGGAAGACCAAGATTTGGTCCCTCAAAAACAAAAAATGACCAAAGATTTACCTCAAATCTTCCCCGGTCACCCATCCCACTAATTTCCTGCAGATTAAGCTCCCTTTCCCCCTCATTCCTCCTCTTGCCTTGCTATACAAATATGCATGATCATCCACTGCTCTCTCTCTTTTTTTCTTTTCCTTAATTTTCTGCACAGAATTTTATGAACAAGTGATGGGTTGTAGTAAGAGTAGAAAAAGGAAAGGAAGAAACTCTAGAAACCCATAGGAATGGGAGGACTGGGAAAGAAAAGCCGAAGAAAAACCAAGAAAAGATTCGCACTCTGTAGTTTAGTTGAGCTGCTTTTCTTACCAAACCTCCCATTTCCTCCGGATTTTCCAAGGCATCTTCCTTTTCTCCTACCCCTAATCACTTCTGCCGACCCGAGACCAGAGTGGAATGCTTTGTCACTATTCATTATATAGAGATGTCTGCAAAGTCCTTCACAAATCAGAGGCCCCCACCATTTCCATTGAATAATAGTCATTGTCGGCCGGCAGCTGGAAAGAGAGAAACCACGACGTGACTTCCATGTGCTGTCCTATTGTATTGCCTTGCTGCCTACCGAAGAAAAGCATCCAAGAATTGATAAACCCATTTTGTAAATTATACTACTATGAGATTTATGGGCATAATTCAAAATCATTCATCAATAAGTTTCTAACATTCCTCAACAGAAAAAAAAAAGAAAGAAAAATAATATTAATTTCTCTTCATATCTGGTTTTTTGTTTAAGTCTTTTTCCTTTTTCCAGTATTCATAAAATGCCAACGAAACTAATAACAAAAAAGGCATATATTCTAAAGGTGGTGGGGCAGCGTAAAAGCGCGTTGCGTAGCTTCGAGGCTGCAAAAAGTTGACCAGACAAATGGTAATGGAAAGACCCGTGCGCACCTCGTGAGCTCCTGGTTCGTTGAATTAAATACACCGACGCAAGTCTGAGTCATCCGTCTAGATTCATTTGTACATTCATTCAACCTCTAGTTTTACTATTTTTTTTTAGTAATTATATATAGATTTATCTTGTCTTGATTGTTTAAATTTTTATTTTGTTTAAATATTGAAAATCTTCTTATATTCCATGAAATCTTTTCATTCAATAGGCAAACTAAATTAGTTATATTTTTTTAGTTGCAAAGATGATCAGAGTATTCAAGCATATTTGAGTTTTTTCAGCTCGGGCTCTTTTAAATTCGACTTATTTATGTCATATTGTTAAGATCGAACTCAAATTTGAACTTGAGATAATTTTAATAAGTTAAACTCGAACACAATTTTTGACTCATTACAATAAGTTTAACTTGATAACTTGATGAATGGAACTGAAAAACTAAAAACTCAATTCAACTCGGCTCATTGAATAAGTCTTAGGGTCTGTTTGATAACATAAAAAAGTGCTGAATCTGAATTTTTCAGACATTCAGATGTTTTGAGTGTTTGATAAATGAAAATCTATTTGCTGAACTTGTTAAGTAGTTCTGAACTTGTGTGTATTTTTTTCAGCACAAGAATCCTAACTGAATGTTTAATTCTGATAGAAATCAATAGAATTACTTCAATTATCTTATCTTATCTATCAAATCTACCTTTGTTTGTTAATTATGTTCAAAATTCTTATCTAATTAAATAATCTAATATCCTCTATCTAATGATTTTCTATTTCTTTTTTCTCCCTTTTGAATGATTTTCACATCTTCTCTATACTCCTCATATAATATATTTCATCTTTTATATTAATTTGATTTAAAAATAAATATTATCATTTTCATACCTAACATTTTTAACTAATTAAATCATAGGTTCTATTTCTTTTTTAGATGAAAAGATATAAAGGCAAATTTATCAAATTTAACTTATTAAGCATTCAGTTATAAATGTTTATTAAACAGTATAAATAAGTTTAACATTAAAATTCAGACATTCATATATTTTTTTTCAGTACTTAAAATTCAGCAAATTAATTGTTTCAGTATTCAGATTTCAAAATTCAAAATTCAGACTTCAGAATTCAGATTCAGTACAGAACCTTAAATTGTACCTTTAATATAATACAAGCTAGTCTAAGAACAGTACCTTTAATACACTTTAAACTAGTCTTAGAGTACCATTAATATTATAAATTAGTGTCAGAATACGTGCCTTGAACGTTGCATGTTTTCGTTTTTCGAGACTTTTTTATTATTATTGTAACATAGTTTTTATTTGTATTTTTTTTTAAAAAAAAAACCTACTCGGCTGAATGAAAAATTATCTATCTCTTTATACATCTATTTAGTTTTATGTTTTGGCCTAGGTACAGGGCACTTTTTTCTTATGTTTGCTTCTAATTTTTTTTTAGTCTACGTTTGATACTTCATTTTGGTATTACTCAAGGACCATGCAAGAGGTAAATTGAACCTCTTGAATCACTACCTTTAATACAAATTACTCAAATATTACTGGGAGTTAAAATCACAAGACTTGGGTAAATACTCAAACTGGACTTTTTTTATTTTGCAGTTCATGATCTCATCTTTTTGCAGTCAACTCTGTTCATCTTGTTTTGGCTTTGTTCACAGGGGTGCTGTGGAAGGGTGTTTTTGGTTGATTTCATTACAAACCGGAAGAAATTTTTGTTTACTCTATCACATGGGATTTCTTCTTTTACCTCTACTCTATAAACCTCACGTGGTACTAGAGGAATATATATCACTCTTTGCCTTGGAAAAATTCAAAGCTCAAACAACTTTTTTGCCAGACGAATAACACAACTAAAATGAAAAACAAATTTCGAAGCTTTGAAGTTCACCAACTCAATGAATGAACTGAAATCATCTAACAGCCAATCAAGCATATCCTTTGATTTACTGGTCCCTGAAGAAGAACTCAAGTAACATGTAATCTGCAAAAAAAAAAAAGGAAAAAGGACAACCACAGCTCAAATCACATGGTTTATCTGACCATAAAATCATACTCTAGCATAAACATAGATCTGAATATAGAAAGGCAGAGATGATAAGATAACTGAAAGGTTTTACCATTGCAGAATATATGCAGAGCAACCTGAGATCTAAAAGAACAAGTTTGGGAAAGGGAGGGAACCCAAGAAATCACCGGCATGGGAGGCCTGGGAAAGGATATCATCTCCAACCTTCCAAATTTCTTTAACGCTTGGGCAAAAAAAAGTTAATTCAAGAAAACGGTTTTTTCAAGCGTATTCTTTCCAAGACCCCCACGCCAGCAATTTCTTGCAGAGATCCATCTGCCTTTCCCTCTTCGTCCTATCTTTCGACCATTGAACATATGTGAAGGGCATGAAGGGAACTGGAGAAACCTCAGGAAGAGACCATTGGGCTCGGGGGGGTTTGGTAACAGCCAATCTGTGCTATGAGTATTGCCTCCAAGGTTTAATATATAGCTGTAGCAGTTACCAATCCACCGACCCCCAAAAGCTTTTCCTCCACTTCCATCCTATCCAGTTCTTTCTAGATCTAGAGTGTGGTATACTTGGCTTTTTAGTACTGATTCGGATTGTAAGAAAGAAATGGTGGCTGAAGTTTGTTTGGTGCGGTCCTGGAGTAGGGTGGTCCAAAACCTACTCGGAAGTCTGGTACCAAATAAAAGAACAAAGGAGTCTAAAATAGCCGCCCACCGAGAAGAATTTTTTAGAAAAATGAAAATTAAGAAATATAATAATCGTATTGACATCGTATGGATCACGGGTATGGTTTTGGATCTCAAAAATCTTGTACTGCTCATGTTAGATGTTTCTAGTTGGATGAAAAGAACGCTCCTAAATAAATAAGGCCTCTCCTTACAATTCAACAACAACAGTGAAGAAATTATACAGTTCCATTCAAACTCATCAGTGTCAAAAGGGATGCAAATGATTTTCTGAAGAAGCTGCGGTATAACGTCTCAACAGGGTCACAGCCATACCCTTTTTTGGCTGTGAATTACTGAATTTATTAGTTTTAGAGTATGGTCTAATAACATTTAATACTTTTAACAAGCTGTGGTAAAACATCTGAGCACAGTGAACCCATATAATGAATGGACTTCCTGCTCGTTTGAGAGCCCAGAAAAAATGCTATTGGTGTGATGAGAAAGGTTTCTTTGAGAGCCTCTATTTCTTTCAATTGGGCTCAACGAAGTGCTCATATTTTCCAGCACCAATCTAAAGCCCACCAGCAAATCAACAATGCTGTCAAGCGGAAGTTAGCATATACTTCACTTTTGCTCAAGTCAAGTACAGAGATGTTCTTGACCCTTGGGAGATGCATTCAACTTGATTATTGCTACCTTTTTTTTTTTAATGGATAATATATAGTTCTCTTCTCTACATAGGCAAGCTTTTTAAATCCAACATTATATATACTTTTTGGCCTGTTTTACTTGTTTTATACTACTGAAATTCTTACCTCTCCTATCCTCCAGTTGTTTTAGACATCATTAGAAACAAACATCTACTTCGTAATTTTTTCCCCTCTTATTAATGCAGCTTGCCTTCCCCCAAAAAATGTCGTGATTTTCTACTGGCTTTCAAGATAGCCATCCAGAAAGAGACCCCTGATTTTTGTAAGAAAGTGGAGTCAAATGCATGTCAAAAGTACATATAACTTGTTTTGCTTTGTGACGGGTAATACAAGCGAAAATCAACCTTTCAGCGTTATTCGCTGGTTTCATTAGCTGGCCAGTCTCGATTTAATACTCCGCATTGGATTCTCTGCTTGAGTATCAATTGCAAGTTGCAAAGAAAAGTGAATCTTCTCTTTAGCTTCTGAGTAAGAACCGCAAGTCAGATCGATGCTCAGGGGAAACTCTTTTCCTTATCTTGATTTAGGACTCTCATATTTAATTATTTATCTTAAATAATTTGTATTTTCAACCTCAGAAAACCTCCCAACATATATCACTTTGCTTCCCTAAAAGGGGGAAGATGAAAAACGGGAAAGAACCAAAGAGAAACTGGAGAACAAAATAATTTTGGCCTTCATGATGATATCATGCCAATTGGACTGGACTCAGTTCTCTGAACCGGAGCTAACTATTGATCTTAGGTGAGAATCGAAAACAAATTCTGTCACCATGATTTTGGATAAATTCTTTCTCATCTCCGCTAATCTTCCACCATTTGGTACACAGAGTATTTTCTCCCTTCTGCCTATCCAAACTCGAAGGTCGAAGGCGTTTTGCGAGACAACAAAGCACCATTAAAGTAAATTGGAAAACTTTGAAGCCGAATTTTTCACTCAATTAACCAAACATATGCCTAACTCAAAATCGTTCACCAACTCAATATTTAACATGAAAAATCTGACGGCTAATCAAGCATCATTTGATTTACGGGTCCCCCAAGCAAAACGTAGAAGCGTATAATCTGCAAACATTAAAATAACTAAACCCCAAATCCAATGGTTTACCTGACCAGAAAATCAGCAGAAAATCAAATTTTTTTTTTTTTTGTAAATAATCAGCAGAAAATCATAACCTAGCACAAACATAAATCTGAATATAAATAGTCAGATGTTAAGATAACTGAAAGATTTTACCATATCTGCAGACCAGTCTGAGATCTAAAAGAACAAGGTTGGGAAAGGCAGGGATCCCAAGAAATCATCGGTATGGGTGGATTGGGAAAGGATACAATCTTCAACCCCTCAAAATTTTTTTGACTTTCTTTTTTTCTTTCTAAGCAAAGGGTTTTTGACTTTTTTCATGCATATCCTCTCCCACACACCCACACCAACAATTTCTTGCAAAAATCCATCTGCCTTTCCCTCTTCGTCCCATCTTTCGACCAGTTCACATATGTAAAGGGTATGAAGGGAATCGGAGAAACCTCAGGAAGGCCATTGGACTCGGTGGGCTTGGTAACACAGCCAATCTGTGCCACCAGTATTGTCTCCGAAGTTTAACAGACAGCAGCAGCTGTTGCCAACCCACAGATTTCCAAAAGCTTTCCCTAGCTATTCCTCCATTTCCATCCTATCCTATCCTTTCCTTTAATTTCTTTCTAGATCTAAAGTGGTGTCCTTTGGCTTTTTGGTACTGATTCTGATCGTGAGAAATGGCGGCTGAAGTTTATTAGTGAGGTCTTGGAGTAGTGGAGTGGAAAACCTACTGAGAGAGTCTGGTATTCTTCACACCATATAAATATAAATATAAATAAGAGGTCTGAATTAGCCCATTGGGTAGGAATCTTAACAATTTTGAAAGTGTCTATAGTCTTGCAGTGTACCATTCATAATCACCATAGCCAAAGCAGGCCCAAAGTTCCCCCAGCCTTAAAGCATACCTTGGGCTATTGGGGTGAATAAACCATTCTATAGTAGCCAGCTTGCAAAGCTGCCCAAGTTCTGCAGCGGATACTCCTCAAAATTAGATTGGAGCGTTACGACACTCTTCTCTGTTTCCTTAAACCAGGGGAAAATGTTGAAAAGCCCAAGTACCTTTAAACTATTTTTTGCAAGCGGCCTGTCCTTTCTTAACCTTCTATCAAATTCTGCTAATTCTGATCATCTTCAAAGTGACGTATCTAAAAGTTTCTTCCAAAAACATATAACGAAATCGAATACTTAGCCTGATAGTTGATACAAGAGAGGCAGAATGCATCTTAAAGGCTTTCATTTTTAAACTATCTATTTTGTGATTTTGGGTTTTCTGTGTCTGCAGTTAAAGTAATGCATCACCTTAGTTACTAATAGTATCAGATCAGACGCCGAGTCATTGAGCAATTCCTCTGTAACTTCATGAGTTCTCTAGTCATCACTCCTAATATTGTAAAACAGTGATAAAACGAGGTCCGTCACTAAAGTAAGCTCACATCTGGTTTACACCCTATCCAGAAAATGAAGAAGAACAAAACCAACGTAGAATGTCAAATATTTGCAATTTCAAGGAAATGCTTACATAGTTACATAGCCGTGTGCATATCACAATCCAAAAAGATCTCTATCATTTGCTTCTTATTGCTCCTTCGTTTCATGAACTAAAAACAACCACGTAAACAGTGCACACTAACTCATCAAAGGTGCACTGCCGAGAAATGTTACCTTTAATCTCCTTGACTACGGATCATACAGTTTTATTTTTAATCAAGCAGTTAGTATTATCACATCAGTGGACCTTAGCCTTATTGCCTATTAATCTTTTGCTTACTTTGAAGAACAAAAACACCGTTGCATACCAGCCAAGACTTCTGCAGTTGTCTAACATCATTGAGGGGAGTTATAATCATGGACCTAACGATTGAGTGGCTTTAGAGGCCTGATGTTCATGGATCTGATGAGCTTCTCCTCATCAGTGAGGGTGTGGCGGAAGTGGCATCGGTGTCCATAAGGGCAGTGATCACCGCTCAACACCATGCGGCATACCTCAGTCTTGTACCTTGGGTGGCGAAGTACAGGGCGCAGCTCCTTAATTCCATGAGCAAATTGGCAGTTCTCTCCATAGGGACATTCCCCGGTCTCTTGCCATTTGTTACACAACTCGGTTTTGAACATTCCCTGATTGTAGACCTCCAGCTCAACAGTTTGCTTCTCCTTTTCGCTTCCTGGAACGTACACCCTTTGCTGCACTCACACCATCAAACACGTTAGCTAACAATCATACGATCAGGGCATTGGCTAAAACTGGATGATGCTCAGCAAAAACACCAGACATTTCCTAGAGTCCTTCGTTTTGCCTTTAGTATAAAATATATTCCATGCAACAAACTTGGCAATCCCCAGTCTCATAAAGAAAGTAGTGGGAAAGCATAAACAAAATAAATCTCAAATGGAAATTAGCATTTGATGAATTCTAAAGAAAATAAACCTGGAAAAGAGATTCACCTTTGTATTGCGATAACAATTCACTTAACTGATCAAAACAACACTCAGTAAGTTTTCATGTCTCTTAGTGAAATCTAAACAGCTTCATCAAAATAATGAATTAACACATCGAGAAGTCAGGCCAAATGGTTTACAGATGCCCTCAATAAGACAATCAATGTCACCTAATATTAGAATATAGTATAAAAATTTCCTGAATTGAGGCAGTGTTAAGCACTTAAGCTTTAGTTCTGTAGACCTATTGACACAACCCTGTCAACATATCGACCACTATGATCACAGTGGACTTTCTGGTTTAACGAAAACAGAATCAGGGACAACTAATTAATGTACTACTGTACCCCAAATCCCAATTTAGCCAATAGAAATGTTTCAACAATTAACAAATTTACTTCTTTATAGCTGTATTTTTTATGGGATCCAGTTACCTTATATATCTGCCCTTCGCTGCTTCCACCAGTTTGAACAGTCTTCAATTTCCTATCAGACCGAACAGAGATACTTTTTGGCAAGGAAACCCGATTCACTTCATCATTCTCACTTCCTTCAGCCAGATCCGTATCCACCATAGTGTCCTGACTGGTATTCTCCCCAGCACCCTCCACATCATCTCCCCTGTTTCTCCTGTCTTCGTTAACCCCGTCCCCCAAACTCATCTTGTCCAATCCATGCAACACTGAACTCATATCAGAACCCGGACCAAGCCCCAGACCCGACAACTCAACAGACGCAGCATACTCCGAAGTTGCTCTCAGCAATAGGCTCAGTCGATTCGTCAACTCGGCATTGATCATTTTTAGACTGATATTCTCTTGGCCAGGGACGGAGCCAGAAATTTATTTTTGGGGGGCTGAAGTGTATTAAAAATTTTTTTTTGTGACGAAATAAATATATTTAATAAGTAAAATTTAGAATCAATAATTATAAAAATAATAAAAACATATAATTATACATACCCAAAAATTTGTTATTGATTAACATTTGAAGTATTGGTAGTTGTTGCACTCGAATAACGAAGAGGAGGCAATTGCATTCTGCGAGTCTTCATCCGTTGAAAACGCTGCAATATTTGCTCATTTTCAATTGTTGCAAAAATATCCTTCTCGATGTATACAACCAGACAGTCATTCATCCACTCGTCTCCCATTTTGTTGCGCAAATCAGTCTTGACAATATTCATTGCAGAAAATACTCTTTCAACAGAAGCAGTCGCAACTGGTAGAACTAATGCCAACTGGATCAGACGATAAACCAATGGAAAAACTGTATTTTTACCAGTTTTAACCATTTGTTGAGCAAGACTTCCCAAATCTCCAACTTCTGAAAATTGAGGATCGCGTTGCACATTATAAATATAATTTCGAAGTTGAGACTCAAGATATAAATAATCGTTACTTGAGAAGTCTTCAGGATATAAATCAGCAAGACGGAGTAGTTTCTGCACATTGAATTGAGAGAAAGAACTTTTTGGATCAAGACATGCTATGCAAATAAGGGGGAAAAAAACATCGATGGCTGCTGTAAGATAATTTTTTCCCCCACAATAAATCTCCATGTAAAATATTTTATCTTGTTCTCCTGCTCCAGCTTAGCCTATTATTTAGCAAGCAGTAATAAATGACGTTGAAGAATTGAAGATTATTCATCTACCACTATGTAAAACAACAAATACCACTACATATGCAACCTGGAAATCTTACACAAAGACAAAGATAGACCCAATCTCAACAACCTCTGAGAAAGAAAGGGAGGAGCGAGGGAAAGTGGGATCGGGAAGAAGGAAGGGGAAGTCAGATTAAATACATAGAAACATGTTGTTAGAGGGAATACTGTTGGCTTAGAAAACATTCTTGTACATGCTGGCCGCCGGAATCCCCTATATATAGGGGGTTTTCCGGCGGCTTGGGGGGGGGCTTAAGCCCCCACCAGCCCCCCCTTAAATCCGTGGCTGCTCTTGGCGCAACGCTTGTGCTTCCTTGGCGGTCTCTTCCATGTAAGAAAGCACCGTGTACTGGCGGTCTATGAGTTCCTGATGGTGGTGCAGGTCCGTTAACATGTCAGAGTGACGCAACCGTGACATCATCATCCTAATTTCCAGTTCCGACAGCCGGTAAGGGGCCAAGCCTATGTCACCGGGGTAATTTATGAATGGTAACGGTGGCGACGCTGGTGGTAGCGGAATGTTGTTGAAGCTCACGTCATTCCTCGCTGTTCTGCCACCTCTTTGCCCAGTTTTTGAGATTTCTTTCTCCATTTCCATGATTTCTCAACAGATTTCTATGAAATTTAGCTGCAGCAATTTTAAAAAAATGAATTTTCTTGGAAACTAAGTAATATATGTCACATGAACAGAAAAAATCCTACATACTAATGTTAGATGAAAAAATAGGAACAACTAATGCAATTGAACACAACCGGATCTCCGAGACGCTTATTCTGATTTTCCGCGTAATTATTGAGCAAATATGAATAAATGCATATAAGTTTATCTATATCTATAGTTAAAACCTGATTCTCGTGTCTCGCTATATTCTTCTCTGTAAAACTTAAGCATACGACCATAAGTAGGTATATGCATATTCATCTATGTGCATATTGCATAAATTCTGTTCATATTCATCTTCGAACGGAAAAGATTGCAAATTTCATTTAATTTCCTGGAAAGATCACGAAATTGAAGCTTCATTCGAGCTTCTGGTTAACATTAATGAATTTACAACGAAACATCGAAGATCATCCAAAAGCTAGAATTTACACATAAACAGCGTTCGATTGGAGTAATAAAAATGACGATTACGTATAGTCTAAATTAACTTAAAAAATTAGTTAAAGCTGAAATTAACAGGAGAATTAATCAACCAAAAGAACAGGAAATAAACTCAAAATTGAATTAATTACTACTTCTATAAACGAAGACCTCTAAGAAAAGAGTAATGAATTGATTAATTACCTGAAAACAAGAACAAAAATGAGTTAAGCAGCAGCGGAAGTGAACTTCAGCTGTATAGAGAGAAATGAGCGAGTTTTAGAGAGAGAAACTGAGTCTGGAAAATGGAACTGGAGAAGAAGGCAGAAAGGTTTTATAGTAGTAGTTGTGACTTGACAGGGGTAGTTTGGGAAAAGATGATGATATACACTAACTGCTTCGTTTGTTTTGCAGCTCTCTTCCAAGATTTGGTCTAAATTCCGCTCTTCAAAGGGTATAAAGGTAATTGTGACTATAGTGGAGTCGGTTACGTATTTGTCAAGGCCTGATCCCTGATAGGATTTTGAGCGGGAAAAGTGACGACTTAGGCATTATGAATGAGCTTGTCACGGGTATACCCTTGATGAACTGTTAATTTACGAAAATGTCATCATCCTACATGCGCTTGTTCCCCTTTTTCATTTCAGGGTATAACACTTATTCCACATTTCTACTCCACTAGTTTTTAAAACATTATTAGTAATTACAAAATTCTGTCTCTTTGATGTTAAAAGAAAATTTGGCAATATTCCTTTTCTCTTTGACATAATTTTATCATGAAAATGGCTATAAGTTTATAGTATGACAAAGAGTGTTAACAATCGATCACTTATTTAAACAAAAATTATATCTGCATGACTAAGAAAAATATGATTGTCAATTATGTTTTCGAGTACAAAAAACTCTAACTTGTTATCTTCAACTAGTGGGTGAGGCACTAATTAGTGAGGGAAAAATAAAAAGAAAAATATAGAATAACAAATTAGTTAGTTGCAGAAAAGGAATTAATTACAGAGTAGTGGGAATTTCTATATAAACGTGAAAGTATGAAGCATGAGTAGTAGATAAGTATAGTAGGAGCAATTATATGAATATGGGAGTAGGAAATACGAGATGGTTATACATTACTTCATCATGCCAAAATAAAATCGAAATAACAAATAATGACATCTTGTTTTAACACCAAACCCATTGCTCACGCATTATATATATAGAAAGTTATAGTGAATTATGAAGTAAAACAACGGTCCAATAGAGCCTTGACCAAGTGAGTTAAGTGACTTTTTCCGGTCTCTTTCCATGCTGCGGTTAGTGAGGGCTGTTTGATTGCTAATATCGCTTGTATTGAAAGCTTATAGTTGGTGATAGTTGGTTTAGGAGAGTTCATGTTTTGGGTCATTGGAATCTAACTTGATTAGGACATTCTTTCATTTGGTAGGGATGCCATGATGGATACTTGAGAGAGTTTGCTTCACTGCTACAACTTTAACTAACTAGTTCCACTCGTTTCCAATCAAAAGGATGTCATTTGTTTGATGAATGCCATGATCCTCACAACTTTGCCCAAAACAAAGGACTTGTTTTTGGTTGTTAAGCGACCTGGTTTTCTAGTATCTCTTACTTGAACCATTAACCGTATAATAATGTTTGATCTTCCTCCTCTTTTTACATCTAGGCCATTCTCTACACAAATTCCAAATGCACGTCAATAGTTTTTGGTAGATAGGAACGCGCCCATAAGATTACCTTGCTTTTCCATTTCAATCATAATCAACAGAAACTGATAGGTGAAGTTGTGAACTAGGGCAACAAATGAACAATGGACAATGTTTTACAATAAAGTTGAACTCCAGCCAATTGATTGCAAAAATCAGAAACGCTTATTACTTGGGGCATATTTAGATTACATGATGAAGTAGAGGAGCTTTTTTAACCTATCTTGCCATGCTTCTTCTATTTTATGGGCTAAGAAAGAATAATCTTTACTTGACAAATGCCAAAAGCCTATTTTTACAAACAGATAGACGAGAAAATAATACAGATCACCCAACTTGCCTAGAGACTGACTGTCATTCTGATGCTTTCAAGTTTCAGCTTCTAGCATATATTCTCTTTCACTTCTGATCCTGATGATACAGATACGCCGAGTGCTTCACTGTGCATTTATTTCCTTTTGCAATTTACTAATTAATGAATTATTTTAAGGATTATAAACAGCTCTTCACATTCATTTACATTTCCGTGATCAGTAAACCATTATCACCACGAGTTTGATAAACAATGAATAATCACAAGCTACCGATTTAGCACCTTGAGAGACCTTATGTTGATGGACCTGATGACTTTTTCCTGGTCAGTGAGAGTATGGCGGAAGTGGCAGCGATGTCCGTAAGGGCAGTGGTCACCATTCAGCACCATGCGACACACCTCTGTCTTGTACCGTGGGTGGCGAATTACAGGGCGAAGCTCCTGAATTCCATGAGCAAATTGGCAGTGGTCTCCATATGGGCATGCCCCAGTTTCTTGCCATTTGTTGCAGAGTTCAGTCTTGAACATGCCTTGATTGTAGACCTCCAGTTCAAGTGGCTGCTCTTCCTTTTTCCCTCCTCGCACGAAGACCTTATGCTACATTCATATTGTCACTGAAATACATCAGTTTACTAATTAAGAACCACCCTGCAGACAATAAGCAGTCGCGGTATATGATGGGGTCCTTTGTGCTCATGACCATGACATAAATCCTCATCATATGTGTAAAGAAAAAGAGGCAAACAAAACCAGTGCACCTATCTTTCACAAGTCCAAGAAGCAGAAAAAAGAGCTAAATTTTCTCTTGCACACGTTAAATTTGGACCACATAAGGCATAAAGAAGATTGCACATCGTCTTTGATAGCCATGTCCCCTAATACAAGGGAGAGATAACCAAGAAGGAACAAGAGAAAGATCAGAAAAGAAAAGCCAAAAGTATCTTACTGAAGCTCCCAAGTCCTAAGGAACTCGAGTAATGCAATTCAATTAATTAGCTCTAGTTAAGATTGATCTCTTGACCGCAGATGCTA